TAAGAGCCCACCTGTGATAAGAGCCCACCTGTGTTAAGAGCCCACCTGTGATAAGAGCCCACCTGTGTTAAGAGCCCACCTGTGTTAAGAGCCCACCTGTGTTAAGAGCCCACCTGTGATAAGAGCCCACCTGTGTTAAGAGACCACCTGTGATAAGAGACCACCTGTGTTAAGAGATCACTTTGAATGTTACTCATTACAGAAGTTTCAAAGATTTATCTATTTAACATAGCATATATTTATCATTCAGAAATTTTACGAAGCATATATTTATCATTCAGACATTTTACGAAGCATATATTTATCATTCAGACATTTTACGAAGCGTAGTTTATCATTCAGACATTTTTTCGAAGCCTAGATTTATCATTCGGACATTTTACGAAGCATAGATTTATCATTCAGACATTTTACGAAGCGTAGATTTATCATTCAGACATTTAACAAAGCATAGATTTATCATTCAGACATTTTATGAAGCGTAGATTTATCATTCAGACATTTTACGAAGCGTAGATTTATCATTCAGACATTTTACAAAGCATAGATTTATCATTCAGACATTTTACGAAGCGTAGATTTATCATTCAGACATTTTACGAAGCGTAGATTTATCATTCAGACATTTTACAAAGCATAGATTTATCATTCAGACATTTTACGAAGCGTAGATTTATCATTCAGACATTTTACAAAGCATAGATTTATCATTCAGACATTTTACGAAGCGTAGATTTATCTTTTACTTACCGTTATACTCTGGACATTCAGACATTTTACGAAGCGTAGATTTATCTTTTACTTACCGTTATACTCTGGACATTCTGATATTTGACGTATCGTAGATTTATCTTTTACTTACCGTTATACTCTGGACATTCAGACATTTTACGAAGCGTAGATTTATCTTTTACTTACCGTTATACTCTGGACATTCTGATATTTGACGTATCGTAGATTTATCTTTTACTTACCGTTATACTCTGGACATTCTGATATTTGACGTATCGTAGATTTATCTTTTACTTACCGTTATACTCTGGACATTCTGATATTTGACGTATCGTAGATTTATCTTTTACTTACCGTTATACTCTGGACATTCTGATATTTGACGTATCGTAGATTTATCTTTTACTTACCGTTATACTCTGGACATTCTGATATTTGACGTATCGTAGATTTATCTTTTACTTACCGTTATACTCTGGACATTCTGATATTTGACGTATCGTAGATTTATCTTTTACTTACCGTTATACTCTGGACATTCTGATATTTGACGTATCGTAGATTTATCTTTTACTTACCGTTATACTCTGGACATTCTGATATTTGACGTATCGTAGATTTATTAGAGTGCCTTCCATCACATCCTCTGGGGTAAGTCTAGAACACCAAACGAAACAAAATTTACATCGAGTACATATATTATCAATAAGATAATTTTGTAATTCCTATCCAACGACTATATACACTTATTGCCCTGGTGTGAGGGAGTCCTGGAGAGTTGTTTGCCCCGAGATAAATCATGTTTCCTGAGGGCTCGAGGGAAACATGATTTATCGAGGGGAACAACTCTTCAGGTCTCCCTCATACCAGGGCAATAACTGTTTTATTATTCCAAAATCCCATCTGTGGAGTCTGTGTTATATACATATAACAAAATACATTAACATTAGGCAATGTAACGAGCCCCGGTGTTGTCACTGTTGTGACTTACCGGTTAGGGTTAGGGTTAGGGTTAGGGTTATTTCGTTAGGTCTGGTAGCATATTCATAGTACAAATACCTATCACTGTCGGTGTTTTGATTTGGCATCACATTAAACAAAAATTATAGCCCTTCGCAGCCATTGTTGATCTTTGTGGTGTTGTCCAGAACACTTCGGGCATTAGAGAGTCTTACAAAGGGAGACAACTCATCCGATAATGTGTGAGGGGTTCCAAGAGGAATAATCGTCGGGGTAAATGGATCGTGTGAGGGAGACTCGATGTTTTATAATCCTATCATGTGATGAGTTTAAACCAATCAGACACGCGGTAAAATTGATTAGGAATAATAATAGAGGTTGTGTTTTTTCACAGGTTCCTATTTTCACAGTAACCATTTTTACCACAAATACAACCCATGAAATAAGTAGGAAATTAATCTGTCCTGACAAGTGGTTTAATTTATATGCCTTGTCTAAAAGACTTGAAATCCGTAAAAAAATAGATCCCACCTAATCGACCAATTAAGCAAACAGGTGAAATTTACACGTAGAATAATTTGATTATTTTAAATGAATTTGAAATTTTGTTATTATTATTGTCATTGCATTATAAAATGTTCCTTAATAAAACAAAGTAAACAAGAGGCCCATGGGCCTAAACGGTCACCTGAGTCCTACAGTATTTATTTTTGTGGTTGAAATATGTACCAATTTGAGTACAAAATAGTTAAGTATAACGTTAACTTAAGTTTGTCAGGACCATGAGCTGATCATTCATAGACCGGGTTTCAGTTAAATCGGCCTATTAGAACTTGTTTTTAAGTATGAAATAGTTTTTCAAAATGGCAGCCGTGGCGGCCGTATTGGATTTCTGATTGACTCGAAAATACAACACTTTGTTAGGACCATGGGTCGATCATTCCTACAAAGTTTCAGTTCAATCGGCCCAGTAGAACTTGACTTTAAGTTTGAAATAGTTTTTCAAAATGGCGGCCGTGGCGGCCATACTGGATTTCTGGTCGACCCGAAAAATAACAACACTTGGTCAGGGAGATGTCAGTAGCCTTCCCATGAAATATTAACGAAATCCCTTTGCCAGTATTTCAGCTTAAGTTGAAAATGTAAAATGTTAACGGACGACGAAGGACGAAGACGGATAGCAATAGGTCACTTGAGCTAAAGCTAAAAATCTAGAACTACTTTGCACTGCACGTTAATGACTATACTATGAGTCAGCTGAAAACAAATAATTGTGTTTAATGGGTTTTTTCAACTTATGAATATTATGTAATCAATAGAATATAAAGGCCCGTGTCATATCAAATTATTGAAACTTGTTTGTTAAATTCAATATGACATGTAAGATCCTCTATTTCCACAGTAGACAAATCCTCACATCAACCCAACATGGGGTCAATAATTGTATGAAGTTTTTAACGCTTACTCTAACGTCTGTGTTGGTTCCATGTTTTCAGCTTTGTCAAAGTCCAAGGTATTCGGAAGATTTTGGAAAATCTTAACAGTTTTGGGTCCATTTTCTGTAAAATGAATTCATAAATCATTATCAATATTCAGTTACTGCTAATATCGTGAACAAGTATATAAGAAACAAGTGTTTTGACCAAAACAAAAGGCCCAATTTAATAAAGGGGCATAACTCCAATAAAAAGTGCACACCTACCTATTGTGCTGATCACGTGTGCCGAAAAAAAATATACCATCAAATAACAATTTTCGTGTATTTTTTTCTGAAAAATTCTTTGTATGAAAATTTCCAGGAAAACAGATTTTTAATTGAGGGCAAAAAATTGTTGAAAATGTTACCTGCAGGTCCATAGATTTTCAGGGAATGTAACTTTACACTCTGGTTGAACTCAACATTGATTATCAGCTGGAAGATAAAAAAAAAACTAATGATATATAAATGTTATGTTACAGAAACAATGTATTTCAGCTATACACTGAAGAGGATGTCAATCAACTTGCCAATTAGTAATGGCTTGTTTGTTTGTTTGTTTGATTTTGTTTAACGTCCTATTAACAGCTAAGGTCATTTAAGGACGGCCTCCCCTGTGTGCAAGATGTATGCGTGTAGTGTATGCGTGTGTGTTTTTGGAGGCTGCGATATGTTCGTGTTTGTCTCCTTGTGATAGCGCGGAACTGATGCCGACTTTATAGTGCTACCTCACTGAAACATACTGCCGAAGACACCCAGCAGGACCCCCCACCCGGTCACATTATACTGACAACGGGCGAACCAGTCGTCCCACTCCTAATTTGCTGAGCGTTAAGCAGGAGTAGAAACTACCATTTTTAAAGACTAATTGGTATGTCTTGGCCAGGGGACAGAACCCAAAGCCTTCCTCACAGGGGCGAACGCTCAACAAATGGCCAAAAGTAAGGCATTGTCGAGGGAGACATTAGGAATGGAAATTGGTTTAAAAACATAATCGATTTTTTTGGTTTTTAATCTGAGGAAGTAGTGAACCGATCAAGGATCAATTGCATAATCGGTTTATAATTTTATGGGAATGATCACCAAAAGAAGGTCGAACACTACTGTTACATCAATAAACAGAGTTGTTTACTATACACTACTGTTACATCAATAGACAGAGTTGTTTACTATACACTACTGTTACATTAATAGACAGAGTTGTTTACTATACACTACTCTTACATCAATAGACAGAATTGTTAACTATACACTTCTGTTACATCAATAGACAGAATTGTTTACTATACACTACTGTTACATCAATAGACAGAGTTGTTCACTATACACTACTGTTACATCAATAGACAGAGTTGTTTACTATACACTACTGTTACATCAATAGACAGAGTTGTTCACTATACACTACTGTTACATCAATAGACAGAGTTGTTTACTATACACTACTGTTACATCAATAGACAGAGTTGTTTACTATACACTACTGTTACATCAATAGACAGAGTTGTTTACTATACACTACTGTTACATCAATAGACAGAGTTGTTTACTATACACTACTGTTACATCAATAGACAGAGTTGTTTACTATACACTACTGTTACATCAATAGACAGAGTTGTTTACTATACACTACTGTTACATCAATAGACAGAGTTGTTTACTATACACTACTGTTACATCAATAGACAGAGTTGTTTACTATACACTACTGTTACATCAATAGACAGAGTTGTTTACTATACACTACTGTTACATCAATAGACAGAGTTGTTTACTATACACTACTGTTACATCAATAGACAGAGTTGTTTACTATACACTACTGTTACATCAATAGACAGAGTTGTTTACTATACACTACTGTTACATCAATAGACAGAGTTGTTTACTATACACTACTGTTACATCAATAGACAGAGTTGTTTACTATACACTACTGTTACATCAATAGACAGAGTTGTTTACTATACACTACTGTTACATCAATAGACAGAGTTGTTTACTATACACTACTGTTACATCAATAGACAGAGTTGTTTACTATACACTACTGTTACATCAATAGACAGAGTTGTTTACTATACACTACTGTTACATCAATAGACAGAGTTGTTTACTATACACTACTGTTACATCAATAGACAGAGTTGTTTACTATACACTACTGTTACATCAATAGACAGAGTTGTTTACTATACACTACTGTTACATCAATAGACAGAGTTGTTTACTATACACTACTGTTACATCAATAGACAGAGTTGTTTACTATACACTACTGTTACATCAATAGACAGAGTTGTTTACTATACACTACTGTTACATCAATAGACAGAGTTGTTTACTATACACTACTGTTACATCAATAGACAGAGTTGTTTACTATACACTACTGTTACATCAATAGACAGAGTTGTTTACTATACACTACTGTTACATCAATAGACAGAGTTGTTTACTATACACTACTGTTACATCAATAGACAGAGTTGTTTACTATACACTACTGTTACATCAATAGACAGAGTTGTTTACTATACACTACTGTTACATCAATAGACAGAGTTGTTTACTATACACTACTGTTACATCAATAGACAGAGTTGTTTACTATACACTACTGTTACATCAATAGACAGAGTTGTTTACTATACACTACTGTTACATCAATAGACAGAGTTGTTTACTATACACTACTGTTACATCAATAGACAGAGTTGTTTACTATACACTACTGTTACATCAATAGACAGAGTTGTTTACTATACACTACTGTTACATCAATAGACAGAGTTGTTTACTATACACTACTGTTACATCAATAGACAGAGTTGTTTACTATACACTACTGTTACATCAATAGACAGAGTTGTTTACTATACACTACTGTTACATCAATAGACAGAGTTGTTTACTATACACTACTGTTACATCAATAGACAGAGTTGTTTACTATACACTACTGTTACATCAATAGACAGAGTTGTTTACTATACACTACTGTTACATCAATAGACAGAGTTGTTTACTATACACTACTGTTACATCAATAGACAGAGTTGTTTACTATACACTACTGTTACATCAATAGACAGAGTTGTTTACTATACACTACTGTTACATCAATAGACAGAGTTGTTTACTATACACTACTGTTACATCAATAGACAGAGTTGTTTACTATACACTACTGTTACATCAATAGACAGAGTTGTTTACTATACACTACTGTTACATCAATAGACAGAGTTGTTTACTATACACTACTGTTACATCAATAGACAGAGTTGTTTACTATACACTACTGTTACATCAATAGACAGAGTTGTTTACTATACACTACTGTTACATCAATAGACAGAGTTGTTTACTATACACTACTGTTACATCAATAGACAGAGTTGTTTACTATACACTACTGTTACATCAATAGACAGAGTTGTTTACTATACACTACTGTTACATCAATAGACAGAGTTGTTTACTATACACTACTGTTACATCAATAGACAGAGTTGTTTACTATACACTACTGTTACATCAATAGACAGAGTTGTTTACTATACACTACTGTTACATCAATAGACAGAGTTGTTTACTATACACTACTGTTACATCAATAGACAGAGTTGTTTACTATACACTACTGTTACATCAATAGACAGAGTTGTTTACTATACACTACTGTTACATCAATAGACAGAGTTGTTTACTATACACTACTGTTACATCAATAGACAGAGTTGTTTACTATACACTACTGTTACATCAATAGACAGAGTTGTTTACTATACACTACTGTTACATCAATAGACAGAGTTGTTTACTATACACTACTGTTACATCAATAGACAGAGTTGTTTACTATACACTACTGTTACATCAATAGACAGAGTTGTTTACTATACACTACTGTTACATCAATAGACAGAGTTGTTTACTATACACTACTGTTACATCAATAGACAGAGTTGTTTACTATACACTACTGTTACATCAATAGACAGAATTGTTTACTATACACTACTGTTACATCAATAGACAGAATTGTTAACTATACACTACTGTTACATCAATAGACAGAATTGTTTACTATACACTGCTGTTACATCAATAGACAGAGTTGTTTACTATACACTACTGTTACATCAATAAACAGAGTTGTTTACTATACATTATAAGGACTACTCCTTTTAAAAAAGATGGATTTCAAGTAATTGTTGTTATGATATTTTCTCAACTTTTTCATCAATCAAATATAATATATATATATATGAAAATACATGACTTTCAATGCATCCTGTAACTCATTCACCCCTTGAAATTTCATAATGAGCTATTACAACCTTTGAATTGGAAGAGTTCAAATGTGTTTTCAGGGGTAAATGAGTTAAACAGTATACATATGAACTGATAATGTAAATTAACGAATTTGTATTCGGAGAGGGCAAATACGAAAAAAAATGTAGATCAACTTTTGATTAACCCTTTCATCCCTAGACTCTACCATGCATGAGTTCATTATGGTCTATAGTGGTGAAAGGGTTTTTTACCCCTTTCACCCCTAAGTAACTTTAGTAGACTCTACCATACATTTATCTGGGTGAGTCCATTATGGTCTACAGTGGTGAAAGGGTTAAAATCGAATCATCAGCCCATCACTACTGCTATAACTAGAACAGGTCAACATGTACCTGACCAACCCCCGACCCGCACAGTCTATTTTTAGTAACCTTGACCTTAAAAACTTTTTAAACCTTTATCTACACATCAAAGTGCATCACCATGTCAAATTTAACAAAGACCAGTCTTTTGAATTCTACGACATTAGGAACGTATCCCCTACGGTTTATTTTTACAAACAGTAACCTTGACCTTGGAAACTTAAAATCCCTCTTGCTCATCTATATATCACAGTGTATCACCATATCAGATTTCAAAAACAATACACTTTTGGAATTCGAGATTAGGAACATACCCCTCCCCAGTCTATTTTTAGTAACAGTGACCTCGGAAAGATTTTAAACCCCTTTTGGACATCTACATTTCACAGACACTGTATTGTTGTATCATGGTTGTAGATATCGTAACATTATCAGATACTCTTTTGAGGATTTACCCCATTTCGAAAGAAAAAACCCTACAATAATATCCTATAATGACCTTTGCTCCTTACAAACCATTGACCTCTACATAATATCTATCAAAAGAATCAGCTGGAAATAAACACACTACCCATTGTAACAACCTGATCCGAAAATTCTGTTAAACATCATTTTACATTATATTATATAATAATTTTCATTGAAGTTTCCCTTTGAATATGAAAATATTATTTCACAACTTCACGAAAAATTCAATCATATAATATTTCACAACTTTACGAAAATTCCATAAAAAAAAAAATGTATTCATTTATGTACGAATAATGATATCAAATGATGTTTTTCCTATAAGTATCCATTTGAATATGAAAATTCTATTATTTTTCATATAAGTATCTATTTGAATAGGTAAAGTCTATCAAATAATATTTTACCACTTTATACGAAAACCCTAACACTATTAGTAAGTGAACAGGGAGCCATTACAAAACTTTAACCAAAACTGTAACCTGCAGATTTTGGCCAAGATAGTTAAGTCCAAAACATGTAAAAAATTCAAGAAAAAATAAACATTTTCCATTTTCAATTCACAGCATTAATGCTAGACCCCTAAAGAGCCTCTATGCGAAGAATCATCATTCTAACATCATTATTAAGCGAATGGTAAGCAAAACTTTAACCAAAACCTTAACCAAAGGTATAACGGACGGACGGACGCAGACAAAACATATAGTCCGCCCGGTTTCACCGGTAGAGACTTATAATATTCTACAACTTCAATAATATTCTACAACTTTAGAACATACAAAAATTCTATCAAATACTATTTCACAACTTAATACGAAAATACTATCAAATAATATTTTTTTCGGAAACGGATTTATATAAGTTATTTCAACTTGCTTCCGGATCCCATTCCTCTGTACTTTGTATGTTGTTATGTGGTGTCATGCAACTTAATGTGGAATGAAATAAAGTTTATATCAAATAATAATTTTCAATTAACCCTTTCACCACTGTAGACCAAAATGGACTCATCTTGATCAATGCACTGGTAGAGTCTACTAAAGTTACATAGGGGTGAAAGGGTTAAGCATCCACTTGACAATTTCTCATCATTGTCATCATCATCATCATCATCATCATCAAATAGAAGTGCCAGCTCTATCATCAATGTTTCTCCACTCAGTCGGTCAATCAACCTTTTTTTTATTAGTTACCTGTTCATCACAGTCCGACTCCAGGTAGCCTCCCTTGGTTGTGAACGCGTGCACCAGAGGATGGTCATCGGCCTCATTTAGACATTCACAGCCAGACTTGCTGATGAATGCCGCGAGATCCATCTGAACACACGAAAACCCATTAGAGACACAAAAATTGTATCTAACATTATTAAGACGATAATAATAATGTACAGCATTTATATAGTGCCCTATATAATTTGTAGAATTACGCTTTACAATATATGGATAATAGTAATAGTTATAACAGTGAAACAAAAACAAAGGCTTACAATCACTTTTATACATTTAAGCAAGCAATGTGCACATACACACACACAACATGTAATGGAACAAATGAAGGGTGGTATTTACACGACGTCTTTGCAGAGACCCTAAAATGCAGATGTGAAGAGTACCTAAAACAATGTCTAGAATACTGCTGTGTTTTTTGTGAATTGTCTGCTTTGTAATATTGCCAACACACCTGAAAGTAACATGTTTAGGAAATAAAATCTACAACAGTCCAAATATGAAATATCACAATCCAGGCTGGGCCTTTTGGTTATTAAAAAGAAATTAGTTGAAGATTTGTTAAATTCAATTTAACCCCAGAACGGATTTCCCCCAACGTTCATGCACCTGTTGTAACGCCAAACCTGCATACCACCATCCACCATTATATTCCCAAAACAAATGGTTAAAATCACTCTTTTTTGACCTCACGAGATACCGCCAATTTGAGTCGAGGACAGGTATGTCCCAATGACAGGAATGTTATGTACATGTGAACATTGTATTGTTACACGTGACTGCCGACTGACAAGGTTATCAGCTGTATAAGTTTTGCACACTCAACAATTTGATATAATAAATTACAATTTTGAAAAAAAGATTAAGTATAAGTTCAGTGTGTGTGTGAACAGTTGGGTTCAAAACGGTAAACCTGATATACCGCCAAACTCGTTGTACCGCCAAAATCACAGAAGGTGGCGGTATGACGCGGTTTTACTGTATTTGATCTCTGTGACCTTGAAAGTCGGTTACGGTCATTTATTTAAACACACTTTGTAGCCGTTCTTCCCAGCATGCTACAGGCCTAATATCAGTACCCTGGGCCTTTTGGTTATTGAGAAGAAGTTGTTTGAAGATTTTCAGACATTTGACTCCTGTGACCTTGAATATCATTATCCTGGTATTGATAAGAAATTGAATGAAGATTTAAACACATTTGATACCTTCAACCGTGAAAGTCGGTTAAGATTTTAACAAACTTAGTAGCACTTCATACCAGCATGCTACTGGCCAGATATTATCACCCTAGGTTTTACGGCCATTGAAAAGAAGTTGTTTTAAGATTTTAACATATTTGGAGCCTACAACTTGAAATGGGTCAAGGTCATTCATTGGAACAAAATTGGTAGCCGTTCATCCCAGCATGCTACTGCCCAAATATCATCACATTTTGTTTATTGAGAAGAACTTCTTCCGAGTATTTCAAAAACCATTTGATCCAAATGACCTTGAAAGTAGGTCAAGGTCATTTCTTTAAACAAACATGGTAGCCCGTCACTGGCAGGATATCATCACATTTGGTCTTTTGGTTATTGAGAAGTAGTTGTTTAAATATTTTTAAACATTGGACACTGGTAACATTGAAAAAGTGTCAAGGTCATTCATATGAACAACTTTGGTAGCCTTTCATCCCAGTATGCTACTGACCAAATAGCAGCGCCCTGCAAATTTTGGTTGTTCTGGAAAAAGATTAAAATACTTTTCATATATATACCCTAGTGACCTTTAGAGTGGGTCAAATTCACTTACTTGAACAAACTTGGTAGCCCTTCATAACCGTAAGCTAGTGGCCAAATATTATCACCTGGGCATGTTAGTTATTCAGAAGAAATTATTTAAATACATTTGACCCAAGTGATCTTGAAAGAGGGTAAAGGTCATTCATTTGAACAAACTTGGTAGCTCATCATCCTGCAGGCTACTGGCCAAACATAATCACCCTGCATTTTTTTAAGGAAGCACTGTTAAAGTCAAGATCACTCTCCTATATAAACCTTAAACAAATGAATTGTAAAAAATAATTTTTTTTTATCTTCCTACCATTCTTTTTCTCAGAAATGTTACAGGAAACAAGCATGTGTTTTGTTTGGCCTAAATAGGTAACGCTTTGTACTTACATGACCCTTGACGACAGTGTCGTCCTCCCCTTCCTCGGCATTCCCCATGCGCTGTTTGATTTTCTCCTCCAGTTGTACAGGATCTGCCCCCCGTTGAATATCAACTTTTGTTTTGTTCTTGTAAAATTTGAATGTTGGCATGGCAGTTACGCCTTCTTTACTTGCTGTCCCCTGAAAATTACACATAAAATGTCTTTCAGATTTTAAGATTTTCTAACTAGACTCGACTGAAGTACACCCCAGTTTCTATTTTTCGTAATCTTAGGTTGATTTTTTTTTATTTTAACCCTTTCACCACTGTAAACCATAATGGATTCATCCATATCAATACATGGTAGAGTCTACTAAAGTTACATAGGGGTGAAAGGGTTAACCTTTTATTTTTCAAATCAGCATTGAAACTGGTAGAGTTACACACCAAAATCTAGGTGTAATTTACGGTACTAATATAATAGGAAGAAAGTAACAACAGCACATGTCCATTCACTTGGGGCCCCCTTTCATGTATTTGGTTCAACCTGTTGAAACTGTGGAACCTAGAAAAAGAACGACAGGCGCAGATCTGAACCGAGGCTGACCTCAGGAATATTCATGATCAGCACGTGTAGATTGAGGGGTCCAGATGTGCCTGACCGAAACTAAAATGCTGACTTTTGCAGCTATAGTTTGTGCTATTTCTTTAATATAAAACAAGATCAAGCCACATGCAGATATTAAGATACGTTATATATTTTAGTGGTTGCATGAAAGAAGGGAATAGTATTCTTGATACATTGTTATTTATTCTCTGAAACTTGTGCATTTTTTAGCTGTATGCCTACAGTTCGATCCAAGTGGGTTCGTTTATCATGGAATATTTATGCGCCACCTGAAACGTTTCAACCGGGATGTGTGAATGTAACTTTGGGATCGAAAACCTGCAATCCAAGACTTGCTAGCTGGATGCTCTACCGCTGAGCGAAGCAACTTGCCTTTATGTAGAATGCACATACTTTAAACTAATGCAATGTGGGTACCAGATTTTATTTTAGGTTTAATCATTTTTATTAATACTACATGCTTAGCGGCGGGCCCATCAACACAGTAGGTTCTTACTCCTTAGGGCCAACAGCTTTCAGATAGTTTAAAATTGTAGAGACAGTTATTTTTTAGCAAGAGATTTAAAACATTTATTACATACTTGTACTAATAAATACGTTTTTTTTGTATATGCGATACAACACAATTGCTCTTACCCATATCAACCCTCACGGTATCACACCCCAAAAGCCATATCAGCCCCCGCAGTATCACACCCCAAAACCCTATCAGCCCGCAAAACCTGTATCACACCCCTTTTGGATTTTTTTTCGTTTTTCAATATTTCAAAAGAAAATTTTATCATAAGACAGTAGCTTTTATTACAAAGTATGTAATAAACAGAATAAAACATGACTTTTTCCAGAACACAAGAGCTGGTATTGCAGTCTCGGGTTGATACTGGGTGTGATATGGAAAAATGCATGTATTATTCTCTATGTATTGATGTAACGTTATTATGTAAGAAATGTCCTCGAATAAACTCAAGGTCGACGCAATCTAATAACAAGTGTTTTACTGTAAACGGCTCGACAAGCTACACATCGAGGCTGGTCTTCAATTTTAATTTTATACAAATGGATAATGTATGCATGAATGACCCATCCTGAGACGGGTAAGGACAACCTTGTGTCGACGCCTCTCTTTGTAGCGAGGATGCCATTTACCAATTTCAATCCATCAGCAAATACAATGATTCATTCTAGCATACAAATATATATGTTTTGACATTTTAGACTGAAGGTGTCTTACCTGGCATATGTCCACATCGACTTTGAGAAAAACCACATTTTTGTAGGCCTCACTAAGCTCTTCATATTTTTTAGCAATGCCTATACAGGGTCCACACCTATAAAGTATAAAATGCATGATGTATCGTAAAAAAATAAACAATGTACAGATTTGGTTGTTTATGTTTCATGTCCTATATTAACTCATTCACCCCTGAAGACACATTTGAACTCTTCCAATTCAAAGGTTGGAATAGTTCATTATGAAATCTCAGGGGTGAATGAGTTAAAGGGCCCTTCATTAAAACCAATATTTCATTTATTGAATTTACAGGTGTTGTCTGCATTGCCAATTATGTTTCCTTGCTATCCCCCTATTCATAGCCCGTTCCAAATGTCCAGTTTGACCACTTGAATTGTTTGGGAAAGCCATGTTAAAAAAAGGCTTAAAACGTCACGTGACGGTTTTGAAACGAGGCAGTAATCACAGGTGGTCTGACCGAGATGCAAAGTTTCCAAAGGGGCCGTCGGCCAACTTCTAATTACCGCACTATGAAACCAAGGAATATGATTATAAGTCTGTGTTGAAACTTATTGAATCCCCTTTTAATAGCAGTAATTATTCATCATTCATCAGAAGTTAATTGCACACATGTCAATATTCAAAAGAAGAAATAATTGTTGCCATCTCGGCATTATTATTAGGCACCAGGAATATGGGACAAACCTTTCTTTAAAAGAAATATTCACTGGACAAATACCCGTTTTCAAATCTTTTCATAAAGTGCATGTATGCATTGGCAATTATAACAAAGAGAAATGTTTTTGAAATTTCTGTATTATATGTACATGTATACTCTCTTTCCTACTTCCAATGTCTTCATACATGCACTTTAACACTTAGTAAGACATATAAGTCATCAAACACAATAAAATTTTCTGGCAAAGCCAATATTTGTACATGCAGAATATGTGTTAGATATATGGAACATGTTAGATACTTCATAATCATATGTTTTCAATAATTTACACTGAGATGTACCGGGGTAAGCACACTTTCAGTACTGGTCCCATTCAGGTAATACATATTGTCTCGTCTCTTATTATTTTGGATTTTGAATACAAATAGAAATATTTCCATGCTTGATGGTATATCATTCCTATTGTCAGAAACAGAAACCATAGTCCCGGCCGCAGGCGCCAATTTTACAACGTAAACAACTATTTGTTTCCCGTTTTCTATACCTATTCCGATGCTATTTGAAGTCGTAAATTAATCACTTATAGACAAAAAATTGTTGCATGATCATACATTCTTTAAGTCAACATGAAAACATGAACTGTTGACACAATTAACCCTTTCACCCCTATGTAACTTTAGTAGACTCAACCATGCATTGATATGGATGAGTCCATTATGGTCCTCAGTCATATTATCTTGGATCGTCAGTTTGATGTTCTTATATCTTGCATGTGGATATTTTTTCTTCTTCTTCTTCAGTATTATAATAAAATCATACCATATTACTGGACCCGGGAGTATTATAAAACCTAATTGTAAATATAATATAGCACACATTGTATATCTCATTTGACCCCCATACAGAGATTGACATCGGCCTCAAGCTCGTGCCGAACTCTGTATGATTAGCTGGAAGCACAGTCATTTCCACCTTAACATAACCAGCCAATCAACAAGATATGTTTCGGCATGTTGCTGACATCAACCTCATGAATATACCACCAGTGGCTCTATGACTACGAAAAACTTTAAAACTAGGAAATGGCGTGTTTTTGGAAGAAACAGAGATCATTTCCGTGGAAGGAGAATACATTTTACGTGCATATAGAAGGATTTTAGAAGAAAAATTATTCATCCTTCTAAATGTACTAAGCATTTTTCCGTACATCAACTAGAAATGTGGTTTTTGATGCAAGAAACTTAGGTGGGGTTGATTTTTCAACATCGAGAGCTTTTCACCCTTTCTGGTGTACTCTTTCAGGGTGGCATTTTTACCAAAAACTGATCTAAACCCCTAAAACATGTATTATTACTCTGAATACCTTAGTTTAGATCCAAATATAGCTGTAACAAATTCTCAGGTCCCTGTGCTCAAGATAGCAAAGTATGAAAGTTTGTTGAACATTCTTAATTTTATTTAATGTGCTTGGGGAATCTTCTATTTCATTTATCCACCAGTCTTTTTGTACAAATATAGCCTTAATCTAAAGTAAGTGTAAGGAATTATCAGTACTACACTAATCAGAAAATTCTAGATTCTACATGTAGATCCCACGCATTGTACGAGACCGTTAGATCGATCAAGCACACGTTGAATGAATATGTCTTGTTTACCATGTTGCGAAGAAATCGACAACAACCAGCTTAGAGCCCGCATTTGTCAGTTCCACGTCAAACTGAGAATCTTCTTCGATTGTTTTCACTAACGACATGATCACTGTTTGTGGTGGTGATTTCGCACTTTCTTTACCGGCGGAAAGAGAAAACGGTAAATACCGGAAGTGGCAGACTAATCCGCAGATTTAAAACCGGAGAATTACAAATATATCCGGAAATATATTATCATTCGGGTTATATGTTGTTGTTTTTTTTATCAATTTATGATTTATTAATTAAAAGACGGGAATTTTCCGACATTGATATCGTTGCATTTATTTTACCTTGCTACGTTGACTATCTATAAAACACAAATGAATAGATATATCTTTGTATCTGTAATTTGCCTTGATAAATCACCAATTGTATATATACAGACTTAAACTTACTCGCCTTTTACAAGTGTATGAAAATTAACCTGTTTTACCTGATTAACTCAAGTAAGTGTTACCTGATGAACTCAACTAAGTGTTACCTGATGAACTCTAGATCTGCTGATTGTTATCTGATAAACTCAACTAAGTGTCACCTGCTTAACTCAATCACAACTAAGTGTCTCCTGATAGCTCAACATTGTCACCTGATGAACTCAACTAAATATCTCCTGATGAACTCAACTACAATGCAAGTGTCTTCTGCTGAACTCAACTAAGTGTCACCTTAACTCAATTAACTGTTAAATAATTATCTCTGCTTAGTGTCACCTGATTAACCCAACTAAGTGTTATCTAATTAACTCAACTAAGTGTCACCTGATGAACTCAAGTAAGTGTTACCTGATGAACTCAACTAAATGTCTCATAATGAACTCAATTAGTGTTACCTGATGAACGCTGCTGATTGTCATCTTATAAACTCTACTAAGTGTCACCTGCTTAACTCAATTACAACTAAGTGTCTCCTGATAGCTCAACATTGTCACCTGATGAACTCAACTAAATACCTCCTGATGAACTCAACTACAATGCAAGTGTCTTCTGCCGAACTCAACTAAGTGTCACCTTAACTCAATTAAGTGTTACATAATTAACTCTGCTAAGTGTCACCAGTGATTAACTCAGCTGAGTGTTACCTAATTAACCTGACTAAGTGTCACCTGATGAACTCAAGTAAGTGTCACCTGATGAACTCAACTAAATATCTCCTGATGAACTCAACTACAATGCAAGTGTCTTCTGGTGAACTCAACTAAATGTCACCTTAACTCAATTAAATGTTACATAATTAACTCTTAGTTTTACCTAATCAACTCAGCTTAGTGTCTCCTGATTAACTTAGCAGAGTGTCACATGACAAACTTAACTAAGTGTCACATGTTGAACTCAGCTGAGTGCCACATGATTAACTCAACTAAGTCTTACCTAATTAATTCAGCTGAGTGTCACATGATTAATTCAAATAAGTGTCCCCTGGTGCACTCAACTAAGTGTTTCATAATTAACTTAACTCAACTGTCTCCAGATTAACTCAACTAAGTGTTTCCTGATTAACTCACTTAGTGTCACCTGATTAACTCAACTAAATACCTCCTGATGAACTAAACTACAATGCAAGTGTCTTCTGCCGAACTCAACTAAGTGTCACCGTAACTCAATTAAGTGTTACATAATTAGCTCTGCTAAGTGTCACCAGTGATTAACTCAGCTCAGTGTTACCTAATTAACCTGACTAAGTGTCCCCTGATGAACTCAAGTAAGTGTCACCTGATGAACTCATCTAAGTGTCACCTGATGAACTCAAGTAAGCGTCACCTGATGAACTCAAGTAAGCGTCACCTGATGAACTCAAGTAAGCGTCACCTGATGAACTCAAGTAAGTGTCACCTGATGAACTCAAGTAAGCGTCACCTGATGAACTCAACTAAGTGTTACCTGATGAGCTCAACTAAATGTCCTATGATGAACTCAATTAGTGTTACCTGATGAACTTGCTGATTGTCATCTAATGAACTCTACTAAGTGTCACCTGCTTAACTCAATTACAACTAAGTGTCTCCTGATAGCTCGACATTGTCACCTGATGAACTCAACTAAATATCTCCTGATGAACTCAACTACAATGCAAGTGTCTACTGCCGAACTCAACTAAGTGTCACCGTAACTCAATTAAGTGTTACATAATTAACTCTGCTGAGTGTCACCAGTGATTAACTCAGCTGAGTGTTTCCTAATTAACCTGACTAAGTGTCACCTGATGAACTCAAGTAAGTGTTACCTGATGAACTCAACTAAATGTCCTATGATGAACTCAATTAGTGTTACCTGATGAACGCTGCTGATTGTCATCTTATAAACTCTACTAAGTGTCACCTGCCTAACTCAATTACACCTAAGTGTCTCCTGATAGCTCAACATTGTCGCCTGATGAACTCAACTAAATCCCTCCTGATGAACTCAACTACAATGCAAGTGTCTTCTGCCGAAGTCAACTAAGTGTCACCTTAACTCAATTAAGTGTGACATAATTAACTCTGCTAAGTGTCACCAGTGATTAACTCAGCTGAGTGTTTCCTAATTAACCTGACTAAGTGTCCCCTGATGAACTCAAGTAAGTGTCACCTGATGAACTCAAGTAAGTGTCACCTGATGAACTCAAGTAAGCGTCACCTGATGAACTCAACTAAGTGTTTCCTGATGAACTCAACTAAATGTCCTATGATGAACTCAATTAGTGTTCCCTGATGAACTTGCTGATTGTCAACTAATAAACTCTACTCAGTGTCACCTGCTTAACTCAATTACAACTAAGTGTCTCCTGATAGCTCAACATTGTCACCTGATGAACTCAACTAAATTCCTCCTGATGAACTCAACTACAATGCAAGTGTCTTCTGACGAACTCAACTAAGTGTCACCTTAACTCAATTAAGTGTTACATAATTAGCTCTGCTAAGTGTCACCAGTGATTAACTCAGCTGAGTGTTTCCTAATTAACCTGACTAAGTGTCCCCTGATGAACTCAAGTAAGTGTCGCCTGATGAACTCAACTAAGTGTTACCTGATGAGCTCAACTAAATGTCCTATGATGAACTCAATTAGTGTTCCCTGATGAACTTGCTGATTGTCAACTAATAAACTCTACTCAGTGTCACCTGCTTAACTCAATTACAACTAAGTGTCTCCTGATAGCTCAACATTGTCGCCTGATGAACTCAACTAAGTGTTTCCTGATGAACTCAACTAAATGTCCTATGATGAACTCAATTAGTGTTCCCTGATGAACTTGCTGATTGTCAACTAATAAACTCTACTCAGTGTCACCTGCTTAACTCAATTACACCTAAGTGTCTCCTGATAGCTCAACATTGTCACCTGATTAACTCAACTAAGTGTCACCTGATTAACTCAACTGTTCCAGATTAACTCAACTAAGTGTTTCCTGATTAACTCAACTAAGTGTCACCTGATTAACTCAACTAAGTGTCACCTGATTAACTCTGATTAACTCAACTAAGTGTCACTTGATTAACTCAACCGTCTCCAGATTAACTCAACTAAGTGTCACCTGATGACTCTGCTGAGTGTCATATGCATATCTCCTGATTAACTCAAATCAATGTTACCTGAACTTTTAACTTAGTGTTCTCTGATTAACTCAACTATGTGTCTCCTGATGGACTCAAATGTTTCCTGATGAACTCAACCAAATATTTCCTGAACTTAAATTTCTTCTTGTGAACTCAAGTAGTATGTATGTCATTAAGTACACCACGGACTTAGTCTAATTCCGTGATCAATTAATATATCCACTTGGTTATGTTTTCAACAGTGACTGCCCTTTACTATCTGTCAAGTATAACCACGGAATTAGATTAGATCTAAGTCTGTGGTATAACCTACAAAAAAAACTCATGTACCTATTTTTTGAAAGAGATTGTATTGTCTGTCTGTATATGAGGTTTTCTAGTCACTGGAAGACATTCTTTCGACACTCTAGTAGGTCTTATCAGAGACGTATAATAATAATTGTATTTCACGTCTCTGGTCTAATCAAATGGTACATATATATTTGTTAATTGTAATCGGCAAGAAGTACTATAGCATTGCTGTATTGAATCTATGAAACCTTTCATTCAATATATATAATATTATCGGGGTATGTTTTATTATACCTGTTTAAAACCCTGTTATGTTCAATGCCAATAATGTGTTTTGGTCAATTGTGATCGCATGGTGGTATTTAGTAGGTCCCTTTATTATCCGGTTGATACTCTTTCCCTGAACAAAATTCAGGGGGAGATTACTCATACTGCATCAACGCTATGGCGGACACCAGCGAAAATCCAAACGTCACCCCTTCTATCACCATATCAAGAGATATTTCTGTCGCAATTCAAACATGGTGAGCACTTTTATTTCATATCTGCATACATTTCTGTGTTTCCCTTTAAATGTTTTAATGATCAACTTATATTAATGCACAGATCATCGGAAAATTGGTTCCACAGCACCAGATTCTGTCACAGGGGCTCGGGTTCGGGATACTTTCGGGAAACAATCAATCTTATACACACCAGTAAATAACAGCAACACTTTTTATCTTGTGTTTATACCGAGGTATACACTCTTTTTTTTATACCTCGGTACCCTCAAAACACCACAGATGACACTTAAATAATATTCAGTTAATATTATAATGTAGTAACCTAATTTTCTGAAAACGCAAAATAGATGGAAATAATCAGAACCTTAAAAAAACAAGTATAAATTTAGCACATCAAACAATATCCTCTTAAATTAGAGCAAATGCACTTATCAAATACAAAATAAACATAGGCTACCTATGTCAAATAATGTGGAAAGAGTGAGAAAAATACCATTTTATATAACAAATATTGATCTTCTGTGAATAGGCAAACGGTAAACTTGTTTGCAGGGGAAGTAACTCAAATACGTATAGTTAATATTACTAGCGTCACTATAACTATCCAATTAACGGGAAACATCATTATGTAACATAATGTCAGGTAGCAGAAATATAAATATCTCTGTATATTTAATGTTTTTGTGTGTTTTTTGGGGGTCTTTTTGTGTGTTTTTGAGTAAATAGTGCTGCCGGATTCTGACCGCTGGGGTCAGTTTAAAATCACTCAATTTACAATGACACCTACAGCTGAACTATTGAAAGACACCATTACATGCCCAGTTTCTGTGCCCATCCTTTTGTAAAAAGAGAAAGAGAAATCCAACGACCAAACTGTGGTTTGAACCCGGGACCTTCCAAAATCGAGACGGCCGCTCAACCTGTCGCTGACGATCGACCCAGTATTCGCTCAGACGACATCGTTAAGCTAGCTAGTAGCTATATATAGCTTGCGGTGATCATGTATAGTATTTTTTTCTACTAATGTATGCTGTACAGAAGCGTACTAATTAAATATAATTTGACTTCCGGTTGATAGATATTTACAATACAAGTTCATTTCCTTACTGGTAGGGTTGGAGTATTCAGCTCCCATTGTTTGCTCCTCTCCTTTACAATTTGATGGTTAAAAACATGTGATCCTTAATCATTCACCCCTGAAATTTCATTATGACCTATTCCAACCTTTGAATTGGTGGAGTTCAAATGTGTCTTCAGGGGTGAATGAGTTAAAAGCATGGTCAGTGCCAAGCAGTCAAATCGTTACATTGTTCACTTTTGGACTTACAGTAAAAAGATGGCTTGAATTTTGTCAGGTGATGTTTCCAGTGGCTGTTGACCTGTAACTTAAAGGTGTTGATCATGAGCGTTGGAGATATTTCTGCCTCCTCTGTTAGAGAGTTCCACAGATTTATCACTCTGTTGCTGTAGAAATTACCATATTTGTTCAGTCTGCATGGTCATTTGAATAGTTTCCTGGAGTTCCCCTGGTTTGGGTCTCACTTAAAAGCGTCTTCAAGTGACAACAAGCGTCGCCAGACAAAATCTTTAAAAATACTGAATAAAGTAAGCGACATCGGTAAGCTTGTTGTCGGTTGAAGACGCTTTTAAGTGAGACCGCCTGGTTCGGTTGTTTTCAGCTTCTTTGAATAGTTTGCCCTTGTCGAGAATGTCCATCTTGTTACATATTTTATACGCTCGTATTAGGTCATCACCTTCCCTTCTATATTCTAGAGTAGTTCCCCAATTCTTAAGACATTGGCGACATTCCCAAAATGGTGACAAAAAGCCCTGATGTGATATACATTTGTATTTGATGATATTTTGGTTTCAGCTTTGAATGACCTTTGAGCAAAGGCTGGTATGATGGAGTCCGCAAAACAATTTTGCAGGAGGCCCCAGAAGCCAGAGTTGAGGCTTATTCGGGATGACAGAGTAAGCAGAGTGAATTTAGGAAGGGGGGAATATAACCTGAGTATTTCTAGCACATATAGTGTGCAATAAGTCCAGGGTCCGTATTCATGTAATTGTTCTCATGCTCAAGTATGGAATTTGTGCTCAAGCCTAATTTCTTTTTCCTGTTACAAATTCATAAAAAAATGTTCTTTTTTCAATGATTTGGAAAAACATTGAAGAGACTTAAGGTCAAAAACTATTTCCAAAGTTTACATTTGACTTTTTGATCGGTTGACAAGATTTAAGCGAGTTACAGTAAAAACTGAGTTGAGCACAGAATCCATGATTGAGCATGAGAACAGTTTCATGAAAATAGACCCAGGGGGGCCAATAAATAGTCTCGGATTCGGAGTCAAAGTAGATGGGTGGGCTTATTAAGGGACAATGAAAACCCTTTTTGTTTTTTTTTTTTTTTAATTTCAAGAGATAAGAGTGAGCTTATTATCAATCATTGGCCAATTGCTGGATAAATATAAAATAAAAAAAGTTAAAGGGGCCAACACATAATCTCGGACTCAAAGTCAGAGAAGATGGGGGGGGGGGGGGGGGGGGGGGGTGTGTGCTTATTACAGGACAACAACAAAAAAAATTGCATTTTTTTTGGCATTTTTTTTAATTGCAAGAGAAATGGGTGGACTTATTACCAGTCATTGGCTTATTGCCAGATGAATATTAAAAAAAAAAATTTGATCCAATCAAGTTGAATAATATTATATTTATAATATTCCCGTTGTCTTTTCAGGTTTGTTTGAGGTAACAATCAACAACAAACTTATTTTCTCGAAGGCAAAACTGGGAAGTTATCCGAGGAGAACAGATGTAAGCAAGAGTTTGGTTCAATTTTAGATCAAATTTATATTAACTCATTCACCCCTGAAGACACATTTGAACTCTTCCAATTCAAAGGTTGGAATAGTTCATTATGAAATTTCAGGGGTGAATGAGTAAAAAGATTTTAATTTCCCATACTTCACTAGCCGGGAAAATGTAAAGCTACATTATCAGTACTAAATTAAAATTTATAAAACATTCCTTATTCTATGAATGTTAGGTATAGCAATGTGCATGAATTATGCATTTTTGTAAATGCATTCTATTTTTTTTTTACAGATAAGAAAGGCTATAAGACAGGTGAATAATGGAGAAGAAGCAGAGGAAATAACCACGACTGCTAGTAATTCCTGCTGCACTTTGTTGTAAATGGGAGGGGTTTATGGGTCAGTGGGAGGGGTTAATGGGTCAGTGGGAGGGGTTTATGGGTCAATGGGAGAGGTTTATGGGTCAGTGGGAGGAGCATACTGTCAATGGGAGGGGCACACTGTAAGTGGGAGGGGCAATGGCTCTAGCGACCACAGAAAATATCTAAAAAACAAAGAGCCCAAAGAGCACACTTACATATAATACTTTGCATCATGGGAATGTATTATGTGTTTGTTATGTATACAAACATTGTACAAACAAAGATAGATATTTTATTATGTTTTATACTTGTGGTGTGGTACTATCTATTGATGTATAAGATTTTTTTGACTTATAAACATGGCAGTATTCATACCCAGAAAAATGATGACTGACATTTAAACGGAAATTATTTCGAGTGTTGGTTTGATGTGTCGTCTGAGGAAGAGTATGCCATGTGATAACTTGAAGAAATCAAAATAATGTAACAAATGTATTTAGCAAATACTATGTATTTTTTTTTTCTATTTTGAGTTATAAACCTGTCTATATAACACCAGCTATTCAACTTCTCCTCGATACTCGGGGGGGTACTGGGTTGGAATTGTTGTGTAAACTACACTTTTCTAACGAAACCTGTTTTTAAAGCATATATAAATGCTAAACACAAACTTTATTTTATCTTGGTAATCCAAACTAATTCAGTATTACAGTTTAGTGGCAATTTAACCCTTTCACCCCCATGTAACTGTAGTAAACTCTTCTTTGCTTGGATCTGGATGAGTCCATTATGGTCTACAGTGGTGAAAGGGGTTAATCAAAATACATCAAAGATTGATAATCTCAATATAATGCATTTATTATATAAAAAAAATACTCATACTGCAATGCAAGTTACACAACTGTAACTGAATTAGACATAACTTTACAAATTTTTCGTATAGGTCGACACCTCCATTGTCTAGGTATATTTTGTAGCTCAAACGGTTGGTGTGATAGTACAATAGGAGTGTTTAAGTTCATTGTTCCAATTCCCGTCCAACTCTGCTGAATTTTTATACTCAGAATTCTGTTGGTGATAATTTCGCTTATTTTGTCTTTATTATTTCTTCAAAAAGTCCGACACGGTATGATTTTTTTTATCAGAAATAATTTATCAAAGCTACTGTGTCATGCCGGAAAAAAGTGTCCAACCCATAGTTACAGAGTTTTGCAGTGGTACGGGGATTTTAAAGTCTATCTTTTTTAAAGATACTTTTTTAACTGCAATCCAAAATGGCAGCCATGCAGTATAACACTGATAGTGTGTTGTAGATAGCACACTACCTTTTTATCAGGACAGCTCGGGTTCGTTTTCCGATCTGATATAATATGGTACAGGTCAGCTGCTTGACCATGCAAAATTTTCTCGGGTTATTCCGCTTTCATTCAACTTTGAAAACCACCTGCATGCTACCACCCGGGCCAACAAGACTGATAAGCATAAGTCGATAACTTGTTTCATAATTGTTGTAGAATAAATACGAAAAGTGTATACATTGACTCTTTCCAATGATGCTTAGGAATTTTAGAAACTGTCTATAATTCACATCTTGTACATTATCAATTTTAGGGGTTATTTTGTTGGACAATATCATGGATGTTTATATGTATTACAGTTAATTAATCCTTTAAACACTGGAAACCATAATGGACTCATCCATATCAATGCATGGTAGAGTCTACTAAAGTTACATAGGGGCGAAAGGGTTAAAATCATTTTTGTTGTCCTTGGAAACGCGATTAGATTGACATTCTTTGTTTGTTACACTGAAAACAACTGTTCCGCATTATAAGACATGTTTTTATAGTAAATGGAAACTTTTTAAAAAATATCATTCGCACCACAAAGTTTGATATATGTGTAAATCAATTACAAAACTTCAGATTCTAGACAAAAGAAATATCTTAAAACTGAACCAATGTTGCGTAATTGTTAGATGACCTCATAATGCAGTATCATGGAAATAGTGCCGAAATTGATCTTGAACTTTTTGATATTGTCAATCAATTATAGAAAAAATGGACAACAGCATCATCAAACCTCATATTCAGTGTTTAGTTTCCTCATTAATAGCATTTTCTTGTTTCTGGCATAATATTTAGTATGTTTCCTAAGTGTGATAAATGACTCGTAGATTGAATCCCATAAGTATACAAGGCGCCGTCCTATTTTTCTGTTACCTTTTGCCGTCTTTCACATTTTTATTTTCGATTTTCCATGCTGTCTCTGTCTACATTTCAATGTTATGTTATCTTCAATAATATTGTGTCATTAATAACTCATTCATCCCTGAAATTTCATAATGAACTATTCCAACCTTTGAATTGGAAGGGTTCAAATGGGTCTTCAGGAGTGAATGAGTTAAGGAAAAGTGTCCTTGATGTTTAGAATATATATCAGTCGACTGTCTGTGAACCTTAGTTTATATTGTATGATATCAAATTAAAATTATTATATATATGCATTGGTATATTAAATCAATATAAATTTTATATATTTACCTTTTTTGCTGTGATATCATAAGCTGTATTTATATTTATATACTGTATCTATTTTTACACAATATGAACCTGTATCATTTAACCCTTTCACCCCTATGTAACTTCAGTAAACTCTTCCATGCATTGATTTGGATGAGTCCATTATGGTCTACAGTGGTGAAAGGGTTAATCATCTATCTACTATCATACTTTTAGTATTTTGTTTACTTCATGGTTTACAACAAAAGTGCCATAATGTTCTATTTTGGGATATTTCATCCAATGAAATATTCACCTTTCACGGGTAGAAACTAAAAGGAAATCCAATTTTATATAATCTTTATTTGATTTTTGAAGTTATTCATAAAATGAAATACTGTTGAAGTAAAACATTTCACGTTGTGGAAATGTTTTTTATACAAGTGATCTAGATTATAGATAAATGGAATATGTATAGTTTCCAGATTTATTGCCACTGCGAAAATTTCCACATCTTGATCACTTTAACTCATTCATCCCTGAAGACACATTTGAACCCTTCCAATTCAAAGGTTGGAATAGTTCATTTTGAAATTTTAGGGGTGAATGAGTTAATGTGTGACAATGCAAACATTTCCAACTGCAAAAATTTTCCCTTTTACAGTAATTGTTAAGTGAGGAAACAACATTATTTGTTTCACCTCAACTCAGATTCAAAGTGTCATCACAATGGATCTTTTTATATATATGATAAATATGACCAGTTTGTGATAGTATTATACACAGTATTATTACGAATTACGGACTTTTGTTGAGGTCATTATGTGGTTATATGGACCTGAAAAGGATATATATTGACAGAGAACAACTCGAGCCAAATACAAGTGTTCAGGTCCATATAACCCCATACATTGACCATAATAAAATTTTGAGGTTAATACAAGTCAAACTTTTCTGGTACATATACCCACATATACACCTCAACGGAAGTCCATAATTGTTAAATGATAGCGACATTTAATGTAACAAGATAATGTGATACACATACAATGCAATACAAAAAGTGATAATGAATATTTTTTATGGACTGGAGACCACCGAAATACTCCCATTATTGAAACTATATCTAACAATCTTTTATTGGATAATGTGATTAACATTCATATCATTTACCTAATTTCTTTGTCTTTGCATTAGATTTTAATAAAAAAAAAAAAAAAAAAATACGTGAAATTTTGCAGTCTTTTGTTTGTTTTTAGCTCTACTGCTCCAAATAACCAGAGAGCTTATCCTTGTTGCTTGTCCGTCTTCTGTCTTGTATACTTCTTCCTTTAAAATTTTACTCCTTCTAAAGAACTGATCAGATTACAGCTAAATTTGCAATGTACCATCCTTGGGACTAGGAAATAACATTTTTATGTTCCCTGAAATATTTTTGGGGGGAGGCATTCATAGTTGCCGCTTTGTCCGTTCGTCCATCTGTCGCTCCGTACTTTTCGTGTTCGGAGCATAACCTTACCCACATTTAAGCTAGGATCATGAAACTTGGTGTGTTCATCAGTCATACTAAGCTGATGTGCACTGTGCCAAATTAAGGGCCGACAACCACTTATTTACAGAGTTATTGCCCTTTGCTAAAATGTTGTGTCCGGAGCATATCTTTGCCCGCATTTCAGATAGGATTATGAAACTTTCACTTAGTATACATGTACATTAGTCATACTAAGGCAATATGCACGGTACGAATTTCAGAGCCCACAACCCCTTAATTACAGAGTTATTGCCCTTTGCTAAAATGTTATGTATAGCATAACTTTGCCTGCGGTTAATCTAGGATCATGAATCTTGGTGTGTACATCAGTCACACTAAGGTGATGTGCACTGTCCAATATTCAGGGTCTGCAGCCCCTTATTAATAGAGTTATTGTCCTTTGCTAAAATATCATGTCTTTGCCTGCATTTAAAATTGGATCCTGAAAGAAAAAGAGGAAGAATTATAATAATTAAAAAAAACCGGGTAAATTTCGTTTGGGCGACTTAAAAACTTTGTTTAGGCAGAGAAGTATATATTACAGAGACGTGATATATATACAATACGTCTCTGATTTGGCAACCTAATAATCAGTCTCATTAGTGCTAACAATGGAATCTCTAACATGGTTTGTATTTATTCCTCATAAACATCCTTATTTGTTTACTTTACAACAGGAAGTTTCAAAAATCATCACATTTGTACATAAAGAACTAAAAAAATGAGAATTTCTTTTTTCTGTCTGCCATTTCAATGAAAATTTTAAAAAAGCCTATCTTTGAATTCTGACAAAAGTTACAATACCAAAATATTCATAGACACACATGTATAACTATCAAGTGCTTATAGCTGGCATATTCCGTCTTTGCATATTGCAGAATTATCTTCTCTTGTGAGCAGGTATTGATTGTTACCTCATTGGTTTGTCTGAGAAAATAATGCCGTTTTTTCAAAAATTGATGACGTTACTCTCACAAACAAATGACGTAACAATCAATACCTGCTCTCAAGAGAAGATAACTCTGCAATACGAAAAGACAGAATAGTATAATACATTAATTATCAGTAAAATAAGCCTTCATATTGTATAGCTGAAGCATATAATGCTATATTCACGTGTCGGACACATACAAGTATATGTAACATGTTAAAACATTTTTTCTACCAAACTCCCCATTTCAACATATTTTTTACCAATGTGTGTCATAAATATAACCAAATACAAAATTCACAAACAGGAAAAACCTCTAGTAAAGTTGTCTTCGGGGAGCATACATCAGTTACACTGATAGTCTTGTGTTGTAATGAAAGGACGTCGGGGCTGAGTGACGGGGACAAATAAAGGGACATTTATGATATTTAGCCGTAAAAAAAACTTTTTTTTCTGTAAATACAACATCAAATGTTATCCTATTTAGTCTGAACATAAATGGGACAAGGTAATCATATTTTTGCTTAAATGAGGATTTATTTAAGGACTTCCCACCCTTCGTATTTTCGTGTCGTCATTTCAGCAATGCTTCTGTTCATTATTTTATTGTTGTTATAGTTTTGAACAATACCACACACTCAAAAGATATAAAAGTGTTAAATTTGACAAAAACACATTTTTTCGGTAATTTTTACAAAAAAAATCCCCAGTTTATCGGAATGCTTAGATTTTCATAAAATCATCTCTGCATAATGACATAAACAGTATGTGAAACTTTTATCGAATTATGCTGGTCAATTGCGAAAGGGTGGGGCCTCCTTAACAACCATTACGTATGCTAGGCATGAAGAAAGAATCTCACTCCTGTCCTTGGAACTTTGTCTGCCCTTTGTGATTTCGGCCTTGTAACTCATATTCTTGTCATTATATGATAAACTCGTACGGTATGTAAGGTGTTAACATTCAAGGTGAACTATTAAAGCCCAAATGGCCTCTTTTTTATCATGGATCACAACGATAATAAATCTGTAAACGTTTTCGAATTCGTGCCATTCAAGACATTGCTCCGAATATCCTGACTTCAGTAGCATATATATAGTAGACGTTAAATGATGACGAACAAACTTACGTATTGATTGTTACGTCACTTGTTTGTGAGAGTAACGTCATCAATTTTTGAGAAAACGACGTAATTTTCTCACACAAACCAATGAGGTAACAATCAAGACCTGCTCCCAAGAGAAGATAACTCTGCAATACGCAAAGACGGAATACCTAAACTAAGGTGTTCAGACTAATTTTACAAGCTCTAAAGCTTTAGATCGACTTTCGGTAAAATACCAGATGCAGGTTGACGATGAGTGTGGACAAATATTATGGTTGCCCTCATGATCTTGTATGAATTGTGCTACTTTTTGTGTGAGATGAAGGTCGGTGTATTTTTATAACGCTCCTTGTGCCGTTGATTGCCTGTATGACACTATATAGATAACAGAACCCTAAGGAAAGCGCTATACTAGTATCTTGATTGCCAGGTTTTTATTTGAACTGAAGTTGCTGGCAATCTCCAATTCCAACATGTCACCGTTCATTTAAAAAAAGCTAGGTAATTGCCAATATGTAAATTATCGCTACTCAAATCGACGTTAATAATGTAATCTATACCAGCGTAATGACAGATTTCTGAGGAAGAGGAATGCCTTTTCAAAAAGATTTCATCCCTGGGGTTTGAAGTATCTAATTTATATTTGACACACCGATGGAACATTCTATTAGTTAATCTCCTGGTACACTGACACGTGTGTTTGATAAATGTCAGCAGCAGAAATGACGTCATCATTACTTAAGAGATTTGAACTGTTCCCCGTTGTAATCGGAACTGCGATTTGCAATTAGTTTATTAAATATATGGGGATAATAGGCGTAGGAAAACGAAAAAGAAATATCAACACAGGATAAGCTATTTAATTTGTTGTTCTGAACTATAAAAACCTTACTCACTACTCAGGTTGCAGATTTCTACAGTAGGTTAAACAGCGTTAAGTTAATGCCTGTTATATTTCGATTTAACGCTCAATAATTCTAGGAGTATCAATATTATGTAAATTCGTAATAAGTGTTTATTATTTAATTTTTATGTTTAAGATTTTTTTTTAAGAATTGTGATTACTAATCAGTTAATTAGGTAAACTGTCCGAGCGAGGTCCCACCCCTCTGCCCCGGGGACCCCTATCGCCGCTTATACATTTAATGTTGAGTCACTTTAAATTTCATTCAGCCATGCAGTGATGCTTCGTCGTCCGTTCGTCCGTCCGTCGTCTGTCAACGTTTTACTAGAACGCCCACTAGTCCAGAACACAGGGACCTGAACACTTGTTACAGCTATAATTGGACCTAAACTAAGGTGTTCAGAGTAATTTTACATGTTTGGGGGTTGAGACCGAAAGTCGATCTAAACCCCTAAAACATGTAAAAATACTCTTAACAACTTAGTTTAGGTCAAAATATAGCTGTAACAAATCAGCAGGTCCCTGTGGGTCCAAATATAGTTGTAACAAATTAGCAGGTCACTGTGGGTCCAAATATAGCTGTAACAAATTAGCAGGTCCCTGTGGTCCAGAATGGCAAAAACAATTCTCTTATACAATAATGGGATGCTATTATAAGATAAAGGGGTCTTTAGCAACCTTAGGCCAGCATATAGGAACATCCCTAAACATAATTTGGTTAGAAGAATCTATTTCTCTAGAGATTTCAACATTGCATAAATAAAGGGTGTGGCTCCTTTTAAGTACACATAAAGATAAAGTGAATACAACTAAATTTAGTTTTGAGCAGCCTTTGGCTTAGGCCTAAGGGATCCAGCTTTGTTTATATGGAGAGTGTTGCTTCGGTAGTGGGAAATGTGGGTAATTCTATCCAATTTAATTCCCTGAAAAGGCGTCATATTATTTTCTTCATTCAATTATTATTTTTCTGTAGAATCTTTGAAGCAGGTCAAGTGTTTAAGGCCTTGAGCATATGATATTATGTATGACTTTTATTAATCATATCTTTTACCATTGCCCTCCTCGTAAAAATGGCTGTTTCAAAGAATGTTTTGGAGTTAGAAACAGAACAAATCAAAAAGAGAAATGAATACGTGGAAATATATCAAACAAAAATATGTCCTTTTTAAAAAAAACATCAACGAATTTATATAAAATCTTAAAAATCGATGACGCATCCCGTGCAAATCTAGTTCAAATCCGAGGAATGTCACGTCCCTACACCAAAACTCATCTATGGAAACCCTGAGCTGAAAGTTTGTCCGTCCGCTGTCGACATCTACCAGAGAGAGAGAGTCATAGCTTGAAGATATTTAATGTGAGATCGTGGAAGTGATCTTCTCCGACACAGACCGCACTAATAAATGTATGATAACAAACAACTCACTCATATTCTCGTATGATACATGTTCATGAATGATAATGATCTTGACCTTCCACTCTAGGTAGAACACAGCATATATTTTTTTCTATAAAAAGTATCAAGTATTTTTTTTTTTATATAAAATCCAAGTAATTTCACGCCATAACATCGAGAACTCGGATAGTGACAATAAAGCTCCGTTGCATACTTGTGAACACTATAAAAAAACATCCCATCCCACAAAGAAATAATATCTATCCAAATGAAATCATGCTTGCCACCATAAAACTTTGTTTCATGTTTTGTTTCTAGGAACCTCAGCATACATAGCAAATGTAAGCAACAATATCGTTCATAGTTGGA